CAGGGCTGAGGAGGCACACTGCCTGTCACTACATGGGTGTGACCCGCACGGTCGCGGCGTATATACACATATGTACATGCTGCCTGTCACCACACGGTGTGACCCGCACGGCCGCGGCGTATGTACACACTGCATTTGTAAACAGCTCACCACACGGTGTGACCCTAAACCAGCCCGTGGCCCCAGAGTAATGTTCAGACCCGCACGGCCCCGGCATATGTACACACTGCCTGTCACTACATGGGTGTGACCCGCACGGTCGCGGCGTATATACACACTGTATTTGTAAACAGCTCACCACACGGTGTGACCCGCACGGCCGCGGCATATGTACATGCTGCCTGTCACCACACGGTGTGACCCGCACGGCCGCGGCGTATGTACACACTGCATTTGTAAACAGCTCACCACACGGTGTGACCCGCACGGTAGTGCCATATGTACATGCTGCATTTGTGTCCAACTTCATGTATGTGCAACTGCACTTCCTTCTCAAGCCATCTCATAAATAAAGTGCTATTATTGCTTGTCTCGTATTGGGGGGGATCATCAAAAAGTTCATGGAAAGTGGAGTATTATGAGAAAGTTGTGCATAAATTTCAATTTTTCTCACGGAAATAACTTGTACTTTAATTCAGTTTTCCACAAACCTTATGAGGCCCCTCCTACAGATGAAACCGAAGAGGGAGAGCTGGCCCTGAGGCACATGAAGAGGATCAGCAGGACCCGCCGTCAGCCCCAGGCCTGTCCCCTCCGCCACGCTACCTCCAAAACACGGACACCTTCGGCTCCAGGCCTGTCCCCTCCGCCACGCTACCTCCAAAACACGGGCACCTTCGACCCCAGGCCTGACCCCTCCGCCAGGCTACCTCCAAAACACAGGGAAGGATGCCACGCAGTGTCAAGGTGGACTGGGAGCTTCCACTGTGCAGCCCACAGCAGGCATGGAGAAAGCGAGCTTGCAGGTTCCTCGGGCAGCTTCTGAGCTCCTCGAACCCCCAACTGCACTTCCTTGGTGTCCCGGACACCCAGCCGCAGCAGAAGCACGCAGTGCCCAGCACCCCAATTTGTAACAATCACCTTTGAAACGTGAGATTTGCCCGCAAAGTCCTTGTCGCCTGCAGCTTTGTGAACCCACAGGCCGGCACGCCAGCCAGCCACCCCCGTCACCCCGCCTGGCCAGCAGAGCAGCAGAGATGTGTGGGTAGGTGGGGAAGAGGTCACGCCCACCGCCCCCAATTTCCTCCCCCATAGTGCTCTAGGGTTGCGGCCAGCTGTCACCAGAGATGCACGTGCCACCTTTCCCCCTCCCGGGCTGCCCGTCCCTTCACCCCACACGCCAAGCCTGCCTCAGCCTCGGTTTCCCCCAGCAGAGGTGCCACAGTCCTGAGAACCCCATCTGTGCTTTGTCCCGTGGAGGTGTGTCGGGCCATGGTCCCGGGGGGTCGTTTCCAGCAGAAGCCCCTCCACCGTCCCCCGAAGCTGTGACCATTGGCCGAAGTTCCCAGGACGCTGATTTGAACGTGCTTGGAAAGGGGGGGCTTAGTTATCCACACCAGGTCTTTTGTCTTCCCGTGAGAGCTTGAGACGTCTCACCTGAGACACGTGTAGCCAGCCCTCCGAGGGCACCCCGAGTCTTCTCATGCTGCAGCTTGCGAGGACACCGACCCGAGGTGTATCGGCGTGAAGGCAGGACAAAGCGTGCCCAGGAGGGCCCCAGCGGCCCTCAGCGTCTCCCTCCCAGGGGTTTGCCTGAGGGGCCAGCGCGGTTCAGGGCACAGGACCAAGCTCTGCGGTGCTGGGTCCATGCGCAGGACGTGCTTCAGGTCCCAGGTGGGCCTGTCCCCATCAGCTGTACTGCTCGTGACCCTGGCTGGCTGGCTGGCAGGGTGGGGTCCCGGGCAAGTCCCTGTGGAGGGCGCATCTCTCACGAAGGAAAGAAGAGGGTTAGAAACAGCACTGCCATGCTCACCACTCCCGGTGGTCAGGGCGCTTGACTGGCGGTCAGCCCGTCTCCACGCGACCGCCTGCAAGGAGGCTGAGTGCTGGACAGTGAGCGGTGACCACGGCGGCCTAGGAGAGGGACGCGGCTTAGAGCGCAGCACGCCAAACGCCGCAGGGCCCAACTCCCCACCAGTCTGGGAGCAGGCACTGGGCGCAAGATGGTGCTGCCGCCTGCAGCGTGCTGTCCTGTCCCTGTCCCTTCACCTAGCGCTGCGGCTGCAGAGTCAGAGCCAGCACAGAAAGAAGCGGTGACGCCAGAGCCAGGCTTCCCTGTGGTCCGCGGTCACGCCAGGGGCCTGGGGGTGGCAGGCTGTCTGAGGAGCTTGCCTGTGCCGTCTCCCCGACGGCCCTCAGGGGACCTCCAGCAGATTCACCCAGAGGCTTATTCAAGGGGAACACCCAGGAAGTCCACGTTCCCCTGGGATGGGCGGCAGACCTGTTAGTCACCAACCTCTCCTCCCCGTCCCTGCTGCCAAAGCTGATGCGCTCAGGATGGCAGGCGGCTCGTACGGAGGCAGGGGACAGTCCTGGTTCCTGGCTGCCGGCAGGAGCGGCCTGGCCGTGTGCAGGCCTAGAAGGGGGTACCAGCAGAGGCCGGCCGGTGTAGCTGGAGAGCACTGCTTTCCCGTCACAGGAGGGAAGTGGCCGCTGCCTCCCACAGGCCTCCTGCCCTGACATGGAGCAATGGAGCGCCCTCCGGACCTGGGTCCCAGCCTTCTCGGAACCTGAGATAGCCGGCAAGCCCCACAGGGGGCCGGGAAAGTGCGCAGGGAGCCCGCGCCCTCTGGGGCCGCTGGCCCAGTGCTTGGGTTTCTGGTCCAACTTGCTGGCAGGTGAGGAGGGTGCCCCCCTGCGGGCAGGCTGCCCCAGGGTGCTGTCCTCCCCACGGGGACGCCTGCCGGGCTCACTGCTCAATGCCGCTCCTGGGTTCAGGGTGAGCACCGTCACCTGGCCAGGGCCAGGGCAATTCCTGACCTCCACCTCCATCTCCACCTCCACCATTTCTGCCTGGAGCCCCAGGTCCACTGCTGCCGGCCTGCTCCCCACCCAGACCTCCACGGAGGCGGGTGTGGTGACACCTGCCAGGCCTCTTCCCCATTCGCTGTGCTTCAGCGCGTGCTCTGGCTGGTCCCAGGCGCAGGTAAAGCTGGCTGGGGCCTGCTGGAGCTGCCCATCCTAGTGCTGCCTGGCGGTTTTATTTTTTCTTTCTTTTTTTTTTCTGATGAGATGGGGTCCCTCTCTACGGTCTCAGGCTCCTGATTGTCCCGCCTCAGACTCCAGAGTAGCCGGGACCCCAGGCCTGTGCACCTCTCCTTCTTAGGAAACCCAGTTTCCGCCATGGGCCTCACCTGGGCTCTCGTCTCGGTGCAGGGCCTTATCCAGACTAGGGCAAGCAGGAACCCGGGCGTGGGCACAGCATCTGTGTTTTCAAAGTGCCCAGAGCAGGTGGAGAGCTGCTGGGCCTTACCTCGCATTCCCTAGGAGCAGTCACAGAAATGGGCAAAACGGAGCGGAAACGTCACTGCCTGTGGCGAGCGTCCTCCCGATACTCCGCAGACTGGCTCACCTCTGCCGGGCCGTCTCGGCCTTTTGAAGGTGTGAAGAAAGAGAGGCTGGAGCACTCAGAGCCCCAGGACGACCGTGGGGGGCCACGCCTGCACCCGTGTGTGTCTCCTGAGAGTCCAGTGAGACGACCAGGAGAAACAGAGTCACCAAATTTCCACCCCTCACCGTTCAAACCCAAACTAAGCTTTTCCGAAAGGCTCCTCTCCCCCAACAGCTCCTGTCCTTCCCTTTCTTTGCTTTTCTGCAAA